CCTGACACCCCCCCCCTCCCCTCTCTCTTACTACGAACACGACTTTGTCAACTCTCGTGGAAGTTGATTGTAATAATGCTCGAGCATCGCTATTGAGTGAAAGCAAGGCATTCTAGATGCTCATTGGCTTATTCATGGTCACATGACATGGAATAGATGAACTAATTCCCTGGAAAGTCCTAAATCCCTGCTTTCAGGGAAGATGAATTGTACAGTACTAATCACCAGTTAGGTCATGTGACCAGTCAATAGTACGATTTATCTTCCCCCAAATCTGAGATTATAGGAGTTGAAAGGTAAAATGCCTTTAAATGTCAATAAGAACCTGTGAACATTTGATATTGAAATGAAAAGACTTCTCATTTTGTTTTTGTTTACAGAGTACTTATCAGGACGAGGTATATAATAAAACAAATAGTGACTGCCACATTTTCGGGAAATAGTGTAAAAATTTTCCTCTCGGGAATATCCTGTCCACTGACTTGTTCCCTCGGCCTGCAGCCTCGGGAACATGTCAGTGGACAGGATATTCCCCTTGAGGAAAATATTTTGCACTATTTCCCTCAATGGCAGTCACTATTTGTACATTAAAACTTCCCCACATCTTTACACTGTGAATCTTGTCAAATGGTGCACGTCCATCCATAAGTTTGGCAACTCTTTAACGTCTTTGCCTCTCTATGTATGAATTTTTATTTTCACATCCTTTAAGAAAAAACTAAAAATAGAAGAATATGTGACCTGGTGACTTGATCTCTACACCCCCAATTTTTCGATTTTTTCCTTTTACAATAGAGTCGAAAATTTATTGAAAATTCGATGATTTTTTGAAATTCAAAATTCCCAAATTGGCAAATTGTGGATTTGCTGCATGAATAAGATAACTTTATCAAACAAAAATTTGCTTCTTAAAAGGTTAAAAGTCTCAAAAGTCTAAAATTATTTTTGAAAAACCTCTCCCATGGAAATAACAAAGGAGGTGGAAAATGATTCTTAAAATCTCTCAAAAAAACACAAAGCATGCAATCTTTTGGGCGATCATGCCAGGCACACATGCACTCTCCAAGAGCCTGGCCAGGTTCGTGGCATTTTCGGAGTTGTAACTGGCGAACTAAGCGACGGAAAATTATTTAGGAGACTTGTGCTGAATTTTAGAAAATTGATGCAACTTCCTAAAAAAATTAAATTCAAAGCTTCAAATAAAAACTTTTATTAAAACTTCTCATCTTTCTCTATCTGATGGTTTTATTTGTTTCATTACTAAAATGAGATTGACTTCGCATCTGCTGCACCCCGTGACTGCGCCTATGCATATAAATAAATGCTTGATAAATTTCATCTTTCAAAATTTTATAAGGGCTATACTTAAATCAATTATCAGCAAACTTTTTAAATTAAAATCAAGTGTGTATAAAGCTTAGAAAACAAACCATGATATTAACTCTGACGCAAGTATGAACAAAACACATAGATAGAACAAAAAGTCGCTTTGAAAATTATATCAAAATGAAAAATGGATTAAATATTTTCAACATATAAATAAGCTTATTAACGAATAACAATTAACAGAACTGGAAAAATGTTCATGCCTTATAATCAGCCATCTCGAGGAAGATAACGCCTGAAAATCCGTCTAGAACGAATAACAAAAAAAAAATAAAACAATAAACAGATTCATGCAAATTAATTAATTATCTAAATATCTGACGATAGATTTTTCATAGTTTATTTTTGCCTCGAGCAACTGTACCCCTCTCATTGTCAGTTAACGTAAGTCTGAAGAAATCATCATGCGATTTTGACATTGTACTTGGGGCAAATTACATAAACTATAAAACAAATATCGCCTTGTATATTCGTTGATGGTTTGGTGTCCTTTAACCTGCCCGTGTTGTCGTAACCATTTCCAAAGGGAACCTGCAAAACAGAATACAATAATCAATTAAGAACTGAATGCATATGATTGATTATGAAATTCCTCTCACTCGTGATCGTGACCCGGGATCGTGAGTCTTAAATAGGGAAACATAGATATATGATAAATATACTATTTGAATTAAAAGAGAAAGTTTATTATATTATCACCATGACATTCTGATTTCCCGTGTCGGGAGATTAATTTGCTAGAGTAAATGTGCCGATCGTCGCACTATTCGATGCACCGATGAAGGAGGTACGAGTTTTAGAGGCCTGATTTCGGAGGATGGTGCACCGACTAATGCTTCAAACGGGAGGAAATGTTTATTTTACATATGTTGTTTTAAGAAAAAAATGATGCCATAACAACGTTCAGGTTTGCCGAAATGATGTATAAGGGAGGTCCACAATTTCAGGGAACTTACGCTGTACATAATCGGCTGCTAACTGATAAATGACTTTTTAAAATTAAAAAGCAATAAAAGTTACAAAAATTAAAAAATGGTGAACTGCACTGTACATGGATTCTAGTTTAATTGATGTGGCAATCGCTGAGCTATAATTGCGCGAGTGACAAGCGGCTGCAAAGCGCACGCTCAGCGCTATGAGTGCTGGCGATCTACGAACGCATCGCTCGCGAATAGCGAGCGACCAACGAACGCTCAGCACACTGGCTACGCTCGCTTCCCGAACGAGTGTACGGCGGATGGCGATTAGTCAGGGTAGTAATTACGTGTACTGTAGTCATCCTAGGGGAAGATATATCTGTAGATATCAGTGATATTATGCATGAATTATTTTCGCAGAATTATATTTTATTATTATAGCTGGGTTACAGATGGCCTCTTTGTAAAATAAAGTAAATCTCAGGAATCACAAATGTTTAGGAGAATATGGGGAATGAAGAGGATTGAAAGAACATTGAACATGGTTCAATTGAGCCAAATATGAATGAAAACCCATACTGGATGACTGAGTTATCAACATTTGTATTTCCTTTTTGGGTCATTCTGTACTTGTGAATTATATAGTAGGACATGTGTGACTACTTGTCATTACAAATCAGATTTTGGGCATCGTTTTGGTTGGGTCAAACCAAGATTGCATTTTGTGACATTGCTTCAGGCCTTTTTTGTAATCAATTGTTGACATGCAGCGCTGAATCACCGACTGTAACAGAAGCCAGCATCAAACTCGGCAATATTGGCATTTTCTGCTTTATAGGCTTCAGATATGAGAAGTTTTATTGTTGTTTTATGACTGATAATAAACATAAAAGTGCACAGAGGGAAACAATGGAAGGACATCAAAACGATTACTGATGCATTAGGAATATTGATGTGATCGTGATACATAAAATACCTTGATTTGTATGGAACATGAGATATTGGGAGATCATGCTGAATCTCCTGATTTGTTCTTTATATCTAACTGCGGGGTATCACAAATGTGAAAATATTGAAATCTGCATTTCTGAATTTTGAAACTTGACAAAAAATTATATAATCTAGAATCATGTGTGTTAAAAAAGCTTTGTTTACAAATTAATAGTTTACATACTTAATTCCTAGTTAAATTCTGTTATTAACAAAAACCTCACTTTCTCCACTGTTCAAAATCACAAGAAGATGCAGGATGGCCATACTAGATCAATGATCATTATATTATTATGAATTCATTGTTAAAAATAACTTTATTGAGAATATTAGAGAACAACCTGACATCAAATGTCTGTGGAATCCATCTGATAGTGAAAATTTAACAATCGTGAGTAGCAAGTCTCAAAAGACATGGAACATATGGGATACACACTCAAATTTATTAAAGTACCACAAAGGCCAACATTCAATTGCACAGGGGCATCAACAAAGCAAATTGGAATTACTTTTTTCTGAAGGCTTACTGGAGATCATACATAGTATATCCAGTCGAAATGAGGCTGCATTCTGATAATCAAATTTCTGTTTCATCGGAAATATGAATGTTGTTCCGAACATATTGCAAATAATATTAAAACTTAGTCAAAGTATAGTGATTTATCAATGCTATCTTAAAATCTAACTATGAGTATGTAACAATTGATGGGCCTCCTAATAAATAAAATGCAAGCAAGCTATAGGATGTCTCTTCCAGAGGGCCCCATAATAAATAGTAAAAAACTATTGAAGATATCTGTTGGAAAAGCTAGTGATTTATTAATAATATAATATTCATTTCATCCAAATTCCAACTGCAAGTTGAATTATTTTTAAAGTTTTGATGAATTAACTCCAATGACATTCCTTTCATAATGGTCACATGTAGATTTTGGTGCAAATCTTATATTACAGACAATCCTTCAAACAAAATACCAAAACAAAGATCATGATGGAAATCCACTCTTACGTTTAGTTAAAACATGACGAAGTAATGAATGATTTGAGTTTAATTAGAATTTTTTAATTTACTCTCAAATCTATCTGACTCCAGTTGAAGTATTGTTATTTTAGTTAAGTCAAAAGTTTGTCCATTATCAAGAGCATTGAGAGACAGATTCATTCAGGTTAATGCAAACATGCTAAGAAGACACTATCATTTACGTTGTAGAAAGAGGCATAGATGCCTTGGGAATTTTAGCTCATTTCTTATGAAAAATAGTGCAATTATTTTCTGGAGCTAAAAGGATGCATTTCTAAATTGGCTCGGATTGCACCAGGGATTTGAGATGACTTAGCACACCATTTCCACGGACTTTTCTAGAACTTCATGTGAATCAAGTGAAATGAAAGAAATGATTGGGGTTTACCTAAGCTTTAAGTAGCGTTTATAAGCAATATCAAATAGCAGCTAATTTTGTCATTTGAAATTTGTTAAAACATGCTCATTTAGTTCCATGTTAATTCACCCCAATTTAACATGAGCCATAGAAACGTGAAAAATAAATTCTTGAAAACATTGAATCACTGGTATATTATATGACTGGTTATATTGACAAATTTCAGGTGGTGTCTTTGAGTCTTATGTGTTCTACATATAAAGGTGTTCCAATAAAAAGGTTTTACTGCACATGTTTGGAGTTAAATGTTATATTTCTGTAGTTACAGTGATCCATGGTGGCTTCGGGTCATGGTCCGCCTGGGGGACATGTTCAACGTCCTGTGGCGAGGGGCGGCAGAGCAGGTACCGTTTATGCGACTCACCAAAGCCATCAATAGGGGGCAGGTTTTGTGAGGGACCACTTACCGAGTCCATGGAATGTAACAATACACCATGTGATGGTAAGTGTATCTAACCCATTTTATTATTTTGTAAAATAAATAAAAGAGATTGAAATTGTAGGAAAATTGTTGAGTTCTTTAAATTGTCATAGTTTTTTAAATTGTCAAAGCTTTTGAAAAAGTCAACAACTGAGTTCAATGAATACAAAGTACTATTACAGGATTTTATGATCAGAACAATAAGCTATATTAAAGGGTATTAGATTGAAACAGATGACTCAAAAAAAGTATTTGAGAGGGACTTCCGATTTAAAACTGCCAAGATTTTGAAAAAGATATGAGTAAACATAGAAATACTAACTAAACAAAGCAAAATTTAATTTGATAATTTAAAGTTTTACGCCTGTTTTCAGGGACTGGATCGAACTCTCCTAACTACAACCAAATTCAAAAATGTCCATGTGGCTGCGATATCAACGCATACAAAGGCAAAATAACCACACACGGGAAATGTCACGGTATCAGTGTATGGAAGATCGCTCTGCAACAGAATTACCACATAGATCTCAGGTTCACTCGTTTTAATCTGAGGAAAGGTCAATGGGTCAAGGTCAGGGCTGGAGGTCAAAGGTCATCAGATTTGTTGATGTACGGGAATGCAGGTGACCTCAATGAAGTTGACACAAGGGAAATACTTAGGTCAAAATCGAATGTAATACGAATCGAGTTTCAAGCGGATTCTACGGAAGTTGACCCAGATTGGCGCAGTAAAAAGAAATATGGATTTGATGCTGTGTATGAATCCAAGCGTAAGTACTTGTGGAGCATTTTTTGATCCAGTCTTTCCTATAATATGAAAATACATGTACATAGATTGAGATTTATATGGGTCATGGAAAGTCAAGGTCAAATTGATTGGCCATTACTGCAGACATTAAAATGTGTTTCTAAAATAGATGACTACATTCATCCAAGTATTTGCAGATACTACATATAACTACTTAAAATGGAGCTTAATGTTGTAACTGTAAGATCCTTTGAAAATTGAAACTCTTGCCTCTTTGGTTAATATTGGAGACTAATAATTTCACATTTATACATTCCTTCCAGCACTTCCTTGGTCATTTGCAAATGTTTCCATTATATAAAGAAAGTTAAAAAAATTACAAAATCTTAATGACTTTATATCATGAATTATATTCCTAAATAAGGGTTTTATAATTGTAGATGTTAATGTGACAGTTAATGTGGAAGTGACTCAGACAAAACAGGTGGACAAAAAACACTGGTCATCAGCCTTAATAATAGCAGGGACCACAATCACAGTAATATTAGTCCTCTTATTCATACTAGGAGTTGTGTACAAGACATCCTGCAAGAAGTACAAGGACAAATATAAACTCTATATGGCTAGTAAATTAGGGGAACAAGATCCCGAGAAACGGAATCAAAAACGTGGGAGTCGAAGTAGCCAAGGAAGTAAGAAAAGTAATATTTATGATTTCCCACCGAGTCACGGCACACTAGGTGTGCTGCATCATGAGTACCATGATATCAGTGCTCATAGCACACCAGCCAGGAATTCCCATGACATTACATGCTTACCTGAACATGTATATGAAGAAGTCCCAATTTTGAATGCAGCTGCGAAAAGCCCAGTTGAAGAACAAGTTAAATGTGTCGGATCCCAAGATGACACACCCAAACAAAAGCATGAGCAACCCCATAAGAAACATCGCGACAAACGCAAACATAAACATGGACATAAATCTAAACATAAAGTTGAAATAAATAATGAGAAAAGTAACATGACAGAAGGAATCAATCCAGATTTGGAGGAGAGGCAAAGGCCAGTTGGCGCGAGTATGAAACGAGGCGAAAACCTAGAATCATTGGACAATATACCAGAAGATTTGAAAAATAACAATGATGATACACCAACACAAACAAATGAGACCAAGTCAAATAAGAACAAAACAAAAGGAACAACAAAAGAAACTACCACTAACAAACTTGACAATGAAACTGAAAATAATGGGAACAATGACATTGAAACTGACACCATGAATGGAAATACAAACAAACAAACCACAAAACAAGTAAAGAAAGACCCACAAAGATGGAAACGGCCCCATAGTGGCACGCCATTAAGTCCATCCAATTTACCACCCCCTGTAGGAAAAGAATCATCACCCACAGCAACTAAACCAGGGATTAAGATCCTTCCTCTGCGTGACATATCACGTCCCGATGGTCAGAGCCCACGTAGCAGTTTGGTAGAAACTGGCGCTCCGTCAACTGCCGAGTCATCCCCTCTTGAAGGCATAGACATGAAACTGATCGATTCATGCATTCCTGACCTGACCACACCCTCAGACCATATGTCCATTGAGGAAATGGAGTTTGATGATACAGTGTATTACGCACCAGGGTCATATTTTGACACTAAGACCTCGTATCAGTTAACATATGACCAAATTCCCTCAGCAGCCCCAAGCATGGAGAGTATGGAGATGACATCACAAATGTAACATGACATCACATGCGTAACATTATGACATAACACATGTAACATATGACATCAAACATGTAACATATGACATCACACATGTAGCATTATGTCATCATACATGCATCAATGGCACCACCATATGATCACACATGCTACAAATGACATCATATAGATGATACCACCATATGACATCACACATGCTAAAAATGACATCATATAGATGAAGCAAATGGCATCACATATGGAGCATTATAAATGTAAGATATCAAATCATATGTGTAATATGAAATTTTGCATCTTATATATTTTACAAGTGATTTATGACATATTTGTAACTTTTGATAATTATGTGACTCACCTGCTTTATGTGACACCATAGAACTATGTGTTGTTTATACATGTGGCATATATGTATGCATTTAAAGGGGCTCAGTTTCTAACTCTGACTCTTAACTTTGACTAATTATTCGTAACAGTCTGCTAATTACTTTTTTGAATTGTAATATTATTACAGAAAAGAAACCGTTGATTGTAAAAGTTAAGGGTTCTTCCTACTTTTTTGATGTCAATATTTTTAAATTCAGAGTGAGAGACTTATTCACTTTAAGCATGGGCTTTCAATTAGCCCATGCTTTAAGTTAGTTGTAATAATATAGATGATCAGCTTCACACATACCTGATGTAAATCTAGAAGTACCACATATTTTACATATGACATCATATGTGAAACATGTGACATCATATTTGTGACATATATAACATTTAGGTGTAAACAACAATAACATAGATGCAACAGAGATGACATTTACATTTGACACCATATTTGAAACAAATGCCATTATATTTGTGACACATGACACTAGATCTACACATTTACCACAATAAGAGAGAAGCAACATAGATGACAAATTACAAAGTTACGGAATTTACATTTGACATCACAAATGATATGTAACATATGGCAGCCTGTAGCAGTGTATGATATATTACTTTGTACGGTAATTTCCATATCAAATATCCTAAGCTAATCATTTTGAGATCAGTTATTAGGATAGGATTCCATTTTCTGATTGCCCTCTCAGAATGAAAGATTTTGTGGTGGAGGAAATAAGTGATCAGATGAGATTTTTCAAATATTAGGTGTGAACATTAGAGTTGTTTCATTATTACAAGTGTCAACGTTTCTATGGAGATTTTTCATACTTTGATTATTAATGCGGTTTTGTGCATTTATTTCAACATTTTTGGAAGATAGTGATATCAATTGAGATTGAGTAAACCCTTTAATATAGACTTCAATGGAGGAAAATAAGAATGTTACGAAATATTTGTATTAATAGAGAATTTGCTAGCATTATAATTTATGCAAATAACATGTTTTATCAAGAATTGAATTATTGTATCGTATTTAACAATAATATGTGTAATTATCCCATCGAACGAAGTTCGGAGGGATATAGGGAAGGCCTCCGTCCGTCCGTCGGTCCGTCCATCCGTACGTACGTACGTCCAACCGTCCGTCCGGGCAATAACTCAAATACCGTTGTCCCGATTTTGTTCATATTATATACACATATACCCTATGGGGGTAGAAGTTCTGCTCGAAAGCTGATTTTCAAAATGGCCGCTCATTTCAAAATGGCGGCCATTTTAGTGCCGATTTTACAGTAATTTAGGTGTAATAGGTAAAACTGTAATAGCAATATGTTTTAAAAGTAAAAAATTATATAGGACATTAAAAAAGCTAGAAATGTAGATATTAAAGAAGCACATGGCAGCCATCTTGAAAAATGGCGGCCTTTACTCGTTATTTTACGATTTTTGCTGTAACTCGAAAAGAAGTGGAGCGATTTTGTTCATATTTGGTATGTGAATACTACAAGCATGGCACACTTTCTAATGACACTTTTGGTAGAAGGCGGTCATTTTTCAAAATGGCCACCATTTTGGCCGCCATTTTAATGTATTTTACTATAACTCGAAAAGTAGTGGAGTGATTTTGTTCATATTTGGTATTTGAGTATAGTATAAGCATGGTACACTGTCTAATGACACTTTTGGTAGAAGGCGGCCATTTTGAAAAATGGCCGCTATTTTAACATGTTTTACTATAACTCGAAAAGTAGTGGAGCGATTTTGTTCATATTTGGTATGTGAATACTATAAGCATGGCACACTGTCTAATGACACTTTTGGTAGAAGGTGGCCATTTTTCAAAATGGCCACCATTTTAACATATTTTTCTATAGCTCGAAAAGTAGTGAAGCGATTTTGTTCATATTTGGAATGTGAATACTATAAGCATGGCACACTGTCTAATGACACTTTTGGTAGAAGGTGGCCATTTTGAAAAATGGCTGCCATTTTTGCTATATACTTTGTTTGTAAATATGCCAGCCATGGCTGTTCGATGGGATTTGCTACGCTTTGGCGTTGCTGCGGTCTAGTTATAGGTTGAACTGACCATTATAATTAGCACATCATATATAGCAAATAATAGATGAATCTCGGCAGATCCGGAATAGTCATTTCCAACGTAGAAATTACAACTTCAAATCTCTACAAGTAAAAATTAAAAGTCGCATAATTGGCTATGTCTCGCTCCCACTTTCGTACTTTAACTCCCTATCAATTTCCATGAAATGTGTTTAGGCCAATTATCTAAATTGTAATTCTGTCTTAATCATACTCACGAGTTCTCTAGGGGGATTCTAACGAAATCCCTCGAGTCGAAAATCAATTATTTTCAATATTTAAAGTGTTAGGCAAAGGCAAAAAAGTTGAAAAAATGCTTTAGAAATCTCATTAGTTTGCAAGAATAATGTTCGGAGTTGTTTTACGTCTCAGATTGATTTTTGTCTCTTAATAATAGAGCAGTCAGAGATATCCAAGTTTTTTGCATGGAACATGCAAATTCGGCACAGAAGTTTTGGGCTTTCGGTATTCATTTCTAATGAAAGAACTTCACAATATATTATTTGTAAGCATGTGACATTATGTGTGGATTTTGAGGAATTGTCTTCTCCAATATCGGAGGAATTTACAGAAATGACTAATTTGGAAATTTTGTGTTAATTTCTTTGTATAGAAGACTGAACTCTAGATGAAAGATGTACGATAATGATAATTAAAAATCTGCAATCCTGTCTACATAAAATAGTTAGTTGTGAACCTATTCTATTAATTGACTTGGCCTTAATGGCTTGTTTTGCTATCTAGGAGAGTGATTGATGACTAACAAAGGAGAAAGTGAAGTTTTTAGTGATTGTTGAAACTTTCACAAGATGTCACACTTCATTGTAAAGTGCTAATTGTAAAAACAGTCAATATCAACCAGTCTAAAATCCTTATTGACCATTCTTGGATATTAAAGAGTTTCTAATATTGTTTTCATGGAATACATTTTTAACAAGAATTATGTTTTTTCAATATTGTAAAACACATTCAGTCCATGCATGTATTTTTGCAATTTCTGAATTCACTAAATTAGAATTATTCCATTGATCATTCACAAATTGGACCTAAACATGTTTTCCAATATGATGTAAACTGAGTTTTTATTTTTTAACTGTAAAATATTGTGTCAGATTATTGTAATAACAGAAGGACACGGGGACCTTGACATTTTCAATTTGTGATGCAATGACATGAAAAAAAAAATATCACAGATGTTGGCTAAATTGTAATTCTCCTACTACATATTTGTAAATAAATAATTGTGTGAATAATGAAAATTCATGAAGTGACCACTTTTAAAATGTGACTTTTTAAAACAAACAATAAAGTGTTCATGTATGCTTATGTGGGATGTGACCACATGAAAAAGTGTTCACTCGAGAGAGGTGTTCACATGAAAAACGTGTACATTCATAATGATATTCAAGTTAGATAGTGTTCACGACAGAAGGATGTTCATCACAGTAGATAGCTGTTCATGTTAGATAGTGTTCACATTAAAGATGTGACATACTTATAGAAAGGTGACACATCATATATTTCATTTGACAAATGTACATGCTTTGTGTTTTTTTCACAATTTGCATATTCACAATATACAAATTTTATACAATATACATACATACATGTATAACATATATATGAGATTGATCTCAAGATTTTCATGGATTTTTATTGTATAGACCAGTTTTACTTATCATCTTTATATAAAACTATTTAGAACACAATAGGTAGCATGTAGTTGATCTAAGCCTATCCATTTATAATTGCTTTGTGAAATATTCAATAGTATATTAGATAGCCATTTAGGAATTATGTCATATCTCTGACTATCTTTTTTAATTCTCATAAGATCAAATCCTATGCTATATGAACAAGGGTCACATCAGCCCTTAGCGCAATAATATTTGATCCTATGTTTCAAATTAACAATCTATGGCTCATATTGAAGCTTAGGGAAGTTCTTACAAAAATCTTGCACTTCTCTAGTGGCTATCTGGAGTACTACTATAATATACATAGACTTGACTTCACCATCACTGAATGAAAAACCATCTCAACAATTTTTAGTTGGGTGTATCCATTAAAAACCAGTTTGAAACTTTTGAGATTATTATGAAATAGAAAGACTAGAATTCATATGTGTTTATTATTCTTATGGCAAGATCAGTTTTCCTGAAGTTCCTGTATGTTGATTCTGAGTTTTTATGCAGTATTTCTATAGCTTACTATAAAATGTTATGACTTATTTAAGAATTTGTGCAGTATAACTGTTGTTTGTTTGTATGTATATACGTTTAATCATTCGGTGTATTGTATAAAATAGATTATAATTTCAAATTGTGCAAAAACAATACCTTAATGCTATGGTAATGGCCACATTTGTCTTAAATATTCAAAAAATGAGTAGATAAATAAGGTAATTTAGAAACTAGAGAAAATCAGGTCACTATACATATTGTTATTAGTGTGCAATATTTTGTACGTATATATATTCAGTATTAGAATATCTTGGTTATAGATATTCAGGAGATGTTGTACGTGAAATGCTTATTAAATAAATTATATGGTAAATTGAATAACTAATGTGTTCATGTTTTTTTATCAAGATGTCATATTTAAATGATGATGGATTGCAACAAGTGGCAAAAGGAAACAAATTACAGAAAAGTAAATTGAAATAAGAGCAGAATGCAAATCATTAATCATCAAATTTGAGTTTATGCGAGTTATATGATTAGATATATTAGAGCTTACCGAAAATTTCAAAAAGGTAGAACTCAAGTTCTGAGTTAATGAGGATGTTGTATCTTTCCCGATGGTGACATACATGATGATATGATATCCTGATGCGAAGTCATTAGTTAATGGTGTATATCCCAATGTTAAGTCAATACACCCTTGCATCCTCATTTTCTCAGAAGAACTCAAGTTGATTGAGTCTTATAGTAGATTCATTTGGGAGAGCATTGGTAGAATCCATTTTAAATAATGAAAATAGGAGAAATACGACATTGGGCTTGCTTTTTAGAAATTTTGTTGGCTCTATATATCATCTGAGCCAAAAACACACCCAGATACTCTCAACAATGTCTTCCTATATAGTCTGGACAATTGCCTAAAAGTCTCAAACAATCGAAGTTCAAAACAATCCCAAGTATTGACCAAATACCGTAAACATAACAAAGACAAATGAATTAACTAAATTTAAATCATCATCTACATATTATTGCATAACATGGAATTATTATTATAACTTTTATTGACATATTGTATCATAAACATGATTACATTAGTCAGTTATTCTGATACAGTAAAACCAGTATATCCAAACACCTGGCTAATCCGAACCCGTACCAATATGATTGTATGAACCCCAATCAATTAACCAAATTGAATCCATCATTTACATACTATTGCATTACATATAAAGAATTATTGCAATATAAGGAATTATATTGCGCTTGATCCAATTAACCAATTGCTTCATTTCTTCTTTGACAATAGATGAACAAAAGTGTCCAATAAATAAATAATTTATGATTTGGCTCTAAGTGAAAGGATTGGTGTGAATATTTATCTCAACAGAGACTTTTCTGTTTGTGGATCCATATTGGTGGGGGTTGACAATGTAAGAAGAAACGTCTTGTTTGAATTTGGACTCATTTTTTAATCAAGATTTGAAAGATTTTTTATGGGGTGTATTTTAGGAAAATGAGCCCTAATAAATAAGGGTTTAGATTCAATGATTCAAAAATACCCATTTCCCAATAATTTATAAGAGGGAAGGCTGATAAAAGGGAAACTTTCAAATTGCTACTAATTGTCTACTGTATTTATAAAGAATATAATTTCTATCAGTTTTTTGCTTCTCTTTAGGATAATCTTCCTTAAAAATGAGAGATTTATTGCTTTTTTTGCTGGAATATCTAAGATTCTAATGGAAGGATATAAAACAAAATTATTGGAATAATGCCACCAACTAAAGGTTATTTGCATCAATATCAGTCAAATTGAAAATGTGTAGATAAATTATACTGCAGAGAATAACCCATTAATTATTAGAGGCGGGAGGGCTTAGCTTTGCTTTTGCAGGAGCAACACTATATTTTTTACCCTCATTAACGCAAAAATATCTATTACAGACATTGTAGATCCAAAGTCAGCAAAGTTTGCAGTACTCTCATCAACATTGGTCAAATCAAAAATATGTACGCTCCTTCCATATTTTCTGCAATGCAGTTATAATATCGCTATCAGCTAACAATTGTTCTTTGCCATAAAATACTTCTGTAACACCATTCTGCCATTATGGTGCATAATCTATATAGAACATGCCATTATCTTAGTTTTATGGGGCAGTTAATCTGTGAATAGACGCACTTGCCCAAAGATGCATAATTAATTACTCTAATACAGATTGCTTTGAGACTATAGTTATTTAGCGACAGGTTTTCGCTGAATTATTGGATGAACGCAAGTCTCGTTCAGACGATGGGTGAATATGGGGTCAATCAGTGCACACATGAACTCAACAGGAAACATAGATTTATCATAAAGCAATGCAACAATTGAAAATGTTTAAAATAAATAAGAATTGAATTTGAAACCATATATAGTTGACTATCAAAATTCTATCCCTCCAGTGTAAACCTTTCCACGCAGTCTCAGTTTACAGTTTTGAAATATAATTTGACAGTTAACCTTCGAAGAGGTCAATAACTGCATACTAATTAATATAATTTCACATTACCACAATATCGTCAGATACATGTATTATACCGTTTATCCCCTATTCTACAAACACTGACATAAAACCATTTCAATTTAGTATACATAGTTCATGTATTAAGTTTTATTGCATTTACATTATCTATACAGTACTCATAGTACAGTACAGTACAGTACAGTACAGTATCACATTTACAGTAAATACCATGTACTGTTATTATCGAATATATCATTTGCATCTCTAAATATGGTATGATAAGGTAGACATCTGAATGTAGGCTAAATATACAGTAAAACCTTTCAAAGTGAACACATTCAATGACTGGCTAAAACTAGTGGTGTTGACATTGAGAACTATTCACATTCAGAGTTGTTCACTTTGAAAGGTGTTCCCAATAACATCCAAATGACAAAATGATATTAAGTTAAGAATTGAAATATTTAGAGGTTTTACTAGTTTTACTAGTTTTTCTGTTTTTCTGTCCTGTTTCATTTTCACAAGCTGACAAAAGAAAGTTGTCAAATTTTAGTTTTCTTATTCTGTGCCTCTCCAGTCATGAAATTAGCATAATATATAATACATTATATTATGAATATGAAGCAAATCATGACATCTTTTGTTTCAAATAAAGCAAAACCAGACATCTTTTGTTTGAAAGAAAGCAAAACCTGACATCTTTCGTTTGAAATAAAGCAAAACCTGACATCTTTAGAAAGCCACAGTATGAAGTTTTGCTTTTGGCTTCCTATGTCATCTCTAATAAACTATCTAGATATATACAGACTTAAAAATAGATGTCATATCGCACATAGTCCTAAGCAGTCATTTGCAGGTAAAATAATCATTAACTGAAATCATGAAAAATAACTCAAGTCTTACAATTTACATATACACCAATAGGGCTAAAAGTCCAATGGAGTTCCATGATTTAAAGCCTCATGACGTTCCAAGTAATGTTAAATGTTTTGAAGCTCCATTGTGCCTATTTGGTGTATGTTGGGCATCAATAAGATTCAGCCATCTCAACACCATTAAGATATAATTTCTCTTTACCAGATATGCAAGAGTTCTAATATTTTGCACCTTTATAAAATCATTCATTTTTGATTTGTTGGCAAAGTGTTGATTTCATTCAATTTTAATCAGACATGTGTAGTTTGGGCTAATCAAGATAGAGCAATCTTTGACAACTATTTTACATTTGAACTCTACATCATTTTATGTCCTGAAACTTTGTGGAGATCCTTATATAGAAAATAGGTCCAAATTTGTCAGTATTTTAAAATATCGTTATGAGAGCAAAGATTCCATATATAAGTGCACAGGGGTATGCAACTAGGAGTTGAGACTGCTCCATGGCTAGGGCAGATACGAAAAGTTTTGATGCTGAATAGCTACACCACAATACGGCTGATACAGTTGATACGGTCCCTATGGCACCTCTGAAATAAAGAAATTATATATTCAATTCAGAGAACGCAACATTCAAAAAGATGTTTGTAAGAAACACTTTTCTAATTAAAATTTTTTGAAATAAGGAACTTTTTCTGGACAAATGCTTTCTTCTGAGTTCTCTATACTAGATTTACAGACATTATATTATATACATGTTTATACCACTCTAAGTCCAATTACAGTTGTATAACATGGGTCTATAACAACGATATACAGTGGAGAGTGGTATATCGTCACCGTATACAACTCCTCCGTATACACTCCAGCGCGAACTCCTATGCAGTGTCTCGGTATAGACACTGCGGCGGGCAGATTATGGAATCCCCAAAATTTGGGGAAGATAGTCCCCCTTTTTCTCACAGATGTACTTGTTTTTCACACAACTTATAAAATATATGTTCTTTTATGTTCACCAATAATTATTTTGTCGAAATATTCCAAAATCAATGAAATATAAGAGGAAATCCCCGCGGAAAGAATTCTGAGTAAAAGTTGTGTTGATAAAAGTTTACCGCACGTGTTGTTTATTAGTTAATACACGCAATTCAACCAATGAAATTGTCTAAATTTTACAATCACGCGACCTGAGCATGGGACTAGAACCAATCACGTCAGTTGTTTATTACGATGTTACCATGCTTACGGTGAGATACCTGCCCGCCGCAGTGATATATCACTGCACGGGAGTTCGACTTCAGCGTATACCACTGTAGAAGTGCATTCTGGGAACTAATGAATAAAAAAATCATGAAAATTTTCATGATTTCCTAGAATCAAGTGACGTCATAAATGGTTTGAGATCAACATCAGCATTATTGAGTTGGCTATGGGATATTTTCATGGTTTTTAATTGTTATGATTGTGTTCGAATCAACTGTAATTGAACTTAGAGTGGCATAATAAGATTATATAATGGTTCATTCTGTATATCGTGCATTTTATACTCTCGTGAGAATATAATATATTCACTCGTTCGCTACGCTCACTTGTGAATATATCATATACTCACTCGAGTATAAAAACGATATACAGAAAAAAACATTATATAACCTCATAATATATATGTATATAAAGAAGTTTTATTTTATTCATTGAGGATTTTATCTTGATATGAGGACTTAAAGGAACAAAGCAAATGGACAAACAAATTATTATTAATCCCAGGATCCAAATATTGTAAATCAAAATTGTATCCTCAATATTACGAGCGTATACTGTAATCATGTTACAAAAATCTTGAGTTATGTGACCAATCTTAATCCTGACCTCTATACTTACTTTAAAGATAATACAATAGATATGGATGAGAGGAGGACCATGGGTAGAAGACAGTACCCCAGGACACTAACAATGCAAGCCCCTGAAGTGCCCGTCATGGACATCATGTTGAGTAACCCATACATTGCAAGACAGCCAAGGACTCCTATACCATAGATGTAGCCAAAGTGGATCTTTCCAGACTGAAATACAGAAATATAAGTATTTAAAGTTGTCCACCTTTGTTGAGTAACCCATACATTGCAAGGTATCCTAGTACTCCTATACCATAGATGTAGCCAAAGTGGATCTTTCCAGACTGAAATACAGAAATATAAGTATTTAAAGTTGTCCACCTTTGTTGAGTAACCCATACATTGCAAGGCATCCTAGTACTCCTATACCATAGATGTAGCCAAAGTGGATCTTTCCAGACTGAAATACAGAAATATAAGTATTTAAAGTTGTCCACCTTTGTTGAGTAACCCATACATTGCAAGGCATCCTAGTACTCCTATACCATAGATGTAGCCAAAGTGGATCTTTCCAGACTGAAATACAGAAATATAAGTATTTAAAGTTGTCCACCTTTGTTGAGTAACCCATACATTGCAAGGCATACTAGTACTCCTATACCATAGATGTAGCCAAAGTGGATCTTTCCAGACTGAAATACAAAAATATATAAGTATTTTAGTTGTTAACCTTTGTTGAGTAACCCATATATTGCCAGACAGCCTAGCACTCCTATACCATAGATCTTTCTTAGAGTAAGAAAATAAAATATTTGATTTTGATAACTGCAATTTTACAAGAGTGCATACTTTGTTCAGATATGATTCAAAAATGATTTTCTTGAAACAATTGACAAATAGATGTCTCTGTACATACACTACTGCTAACGATCAGATAGAGCAGGAAATTTCACCAAGTATTATAGATGTCACTTTAATCTATGTAGGAAGGGCAAAATAGTAACTTTTAGACCCTGAACTGTCACTTTTATAATTTTTCCCGTTTTTTTAACTTCTTTTCAATTTTTTCAATTTGTTCCACATGTTGAGTAAATGGCCATGGTCATGAACTGACCATCCTCCTTAGCAGGCGTCCAGAATCCGTATCTCCTTTCAGGGTGTAAGAAGGAGGTACGGATTCTGGAAGCCTGCTAAGGAGGATGTGAACTGACAGGCAGACATACCAATGAACAGACTCCTACCCATTCTACCCATACAGGCTCACTGCATATAAACCAACAATATAAATACAACTTCTTTCAACGAATGTACCATATTGTGGGAAATCATTGTCAAATCTTCAGTACAGTATAAATGAGATTAAGGAGATATATAGTTATAAAGATGTGACTCTGGGGATGCAACATCTGCTTGAGAATCCATCTAATCTCAGTAATCACTTTAATTAGGACAAATTAGGAAGCATTAATATAAATGTATGATATAATCATTCTGTTTATTGTCACATGGTGTCATATACAATGTAAAACTGAAACCCATTTGAGAAAAGTCTGAATATAATGCTATTACAAGGCATTAGCATATAAAATGTCACCACCTGTCATTATTTGTTACAGATGCAGAATGCCGAGCACCAATCACCGAGCACCGTCTTATTTTGGTGGTGACATCAAAACAGGATTATTGGGTGACTTTGAGCCTTTGTGGAATAACACCAAAAGACAAGCTTTTATGTACAAAATTCAACTTTTGGTTTATTTATTCCCCTCGGCCTATAATACATTTGTAAATTATTTATAGACAGAAGAATCTATGAAATAAATTTGAAATCATGGCTTTGATGAATCTACATTAATATGCAATTTACTTCTATATAGCCCCATTCCCAAGTTAGTAGCCCAGAGGGAAAGCTTGAAAGCACAAAATCTACTGACAATAATTAACTAATATAAGATCAATAATTTATGTCTATTTACTGTTCCAAAAATCTGGTTTTGGAAGCCGGCCACTGTTTCTTCATATCATAAAATATCCAGTACAACCCAATAACAAGTTCTTCTTCTTATTTACCAGTAGCTAAGGCCTACTAAAATGGCCATTACAAAGCAAATAAATTGTATGTTTTATCTCAAAAAAGAATTTTATGATAAAAGCTGAGCTATATTGTTATGTCATGGTGTTAACAACCTTTTTCCAAAGAAAACGGTTTTCCAGTTTGCCAATTGTGGTGGAAATGGATTTGATGAAGGTGTGCAAGATTTAAAAAGAAAACAAACAACAATTGATGGGCTTTTTGATATTTCTGATTTTGGAAGATTGTAAAACTGAAACGGAATTTTTTAATCATGTTGTTTCTTGTATGTTGCCTGTTGTGTTTGTTGACTTTCCATTTAATGTTATATGGATCTCTGGTACTGAAATCTGATTGGACTACATCTGGGGTAATATAGACTGCTCTATGGTCTGAAAAAGTACCCCCCCCCATTCACGAAAAAACTGCAACTGGTAGTAATGCAAATAGCCCCAATACAGGGGCCTTAATATTTTCTAGAAATGGCCCTCCAGATATGAAACCATGTCTCATACTGTACTCATCAATCTCTCTGAGTACAGAGGTTGTAAGTTGAACGTCACACAGACAAAGCTCTCTTTTAAGAAGCAAAGTTAAAGGGTTCCGATTAGCATCCCGTATAAAAACAATATGGCGGCTCCAGGCGAATCAACTGGATCAGTCCATTTTTAAGAAATAAGGGGAGTTCTGTAAAATCCAGTTTATTGAAATTGTCTTTGAGATAAAGTAATTCGTTTATAATGATTTTGAAAACGTTATCCAAAGAGTGATTGCGTTCAAATAATACATGTACAACAGCCAATATAAATTCTTGTATTAGAAACCGGTTTGTCTTGCTTTGTTTCATTTGTAGGATATTTCATATGCCAAGCTGTGTGCTATTACGTTATGGGGAAATTTAGATGCCAATTTTTCCCTATTATACACAAATAGAAGATCCTGAAACTTCACCCATAAATGTGGAATTGATTTGTCAAAATAAAAATCACCCTTTTATAAATGTGTGACGATCTATAATATACTTGTGCTATATAACAGTTAGAGGTGTTGACACAACGACCTGGAACCTGTGAACCCTTGAGTATTATTCCGGGATCGGGCCTTTTATACTAAACGGTGAGCAACACCAGAAACGAGCGTTCGATTTGCTAAACGATATGCGTCACCCTTTAAAGATGGAAAGGGTACTCACCAAGAGAAGACATCCACCAAAGGCCAAACAGAACACTAATGGCCCAGCTAGGTCAGTATCATTCATTATTGATGAATCTGGCTTTTTCAATGGATTTAAAACTGTCAGTGTCTGAAAATATTATTTAACAATTGTATAAGTATAAATCAAAGACTACACACCAGAGAAAATGTGTAAAGTTATTCAAAACATTTCTTTTTATATGGCCTATACATAAATTTTGAAGAAATGTATGTTTTGTTACAAGTAAATAATATACATTTAATTTAAATTAGAGGTTTAGCACATTAAAGTATAGTTATTTTAATCTAATTGTGGTTAAATCTTGTTTGTGTTATTGGCATAAATGTTAGAGATGGATAACAAATGCATCAATTTGTTTGTTTGTTTGTTTGTGTGGTTGCTTGTTTGTTTTGTGTGTTGTTTGTGAAGTTATGCAAATCATATTAACATAACACAGCTATGCATCTTGCATGTTTAGTAAACCATATATGGTAAACTGACCACCAGTTGTTTTAACATGAAACAAGAATCGCAGACAATTTGCAATATATTTTACAAAATTTTGATGTCTTAGTGTACATGTACATGGGCTGTCAAATCAAGCAAGTGAGAGTCAAATCAAGTAAGTAGAAACCTGACAGATCAATCAATCAAACAAATCAACCAAGCAATTCATTGTTCATTAATCTTTAATTCATCATGATTTCCCTAAAAGGCTATTATTTTATAGTATGGTACAAATATAACAGATATAAATTATTCTTTGAACCCACGAGTCAAAATATCACATCCATGGTCCCATAATATCCATTTTGACCTCAGAACCACCAAATATCCCTCTATATCATTTTGATAGAGTGAATATTTTGACTTTTGCTATGTCTAACATGTCTAATGGGCCTTTCAAATAAGCCATACACTCCTGATCAACCATTGAAACTAGGGTTGTTAGATTTATGATAACAAGCTTTGATAGAAACAATGTTTGTAAACAAAAGTTCTGCCCAGAAACTGTAAGAATGGCATCCTAACCTAATAGCCTCTTAATGAAGTGTTTGAAAGCTCTAACGAATTTTTACAAAAAGTAAAACTTAAGTATACAATGAGGCATTTTTCCTAAAAAAGAACTTACTTTTAGTTCTTTGATAGGCAATACCCCAGTTTTCCAGCTGCACACATCAGAATCATGCAGTTTTCAGGGATTTAGTTAGTCACCAGGAATTTATTGTTTTATAAAACCTATCACATGATATTGATACCAAGGGTACAATATGGGGCATGATTTATTGAATTGGAACATTGAAATATCCTAGAAGTTATTTCAGAACATCAAAACCTGATAGTATGATACAATATTGTTACTTTTTCGTTTTTTAATCTATCTTCTATAATTCTAATTCTATAATTGTAATTCTATAATTGTTCATTGTATATGTAGATGTTCATGTACTTGGTAAACGTCAAGTTTAGAAAGCTGTAACTGAAAACATTTTATTCTCTCATATCAAAATCAAATATTCTCTCATATCAAAGTCAAATATTCTCTCATATCAAAGTCAAATGTTTTTTTCCTATTAAAGCCAATATATGTTATTTTAACCAAACCACAGTTCAGCATTCTTCCTGAAGAAAGTTGGGATAAACTTGATTGTAATTAATTAAGTTCACCCACGTTAGACAGTAAATATCTCAGCTTTTAATCCATTAGTTTAAAACCTTAGTTCACATTACAAAGAGTTTTTTCTGATACATCAACAGATGGAAATATCCCTTTATTGCCATATCTACAGTTTGGTGCAGAGAAACAAGAAAATATACCCAAATCTAGTAATGCTGACTCAAAATCATGTGGTTGTGTGTTAGACTGAGTATACAATATAATGAAAGTGCTACTTCAAAGGTTTATTGAAGTCAAGTAATGTTGGGGGTGTAGAGGCAATACCATCATTCATAACATCATAACATACCAAACAGAGAGTGCAATGTGTATTTCGTTAGTATAGCCATGGGCTTTCAATGTCTCCATAGCCCATGGTATAGCCCATGATATAGCCCTGGCTATAGCCCATGGTATAGCCCTGGCTATAGCCCATGGTAGAGCCCTGGTATAGCCCTTGAGGTAGTTCTTGAGATTACTCACACCAGGTCACAGGGACCATATTTCAAATTTGGAAAAAAGTAGAAAAGAATGAAAATAAACAAATAATACAAAAATTCATAACATCAAAATAACATACCAAACAGAGAGCACAATGTGTATTTCGTTAGTATTGCATTAAGCATGTAATTTACAATTATTTTATATACTGTATAGTAAAATGGTTTTGCCAATGAATGAGACCAAGCGTGGGATTGGTATTTCTATTTACACTGCTAGGTCAATGATAGTATAGTTCCAAGGAAATTACCAATTCAAAAAAAACTTTTTTTATTATTTCATTTGAAATATGAACCTTTTCATGAAGCAAAAAATAGTTGATAATTTCAATGAGCAATCTTGTTTTTTATTATACTGCATATGACAGGCATGTCATGTGTCAACAACTGACGTCATGTGTCAATAAATGACATCCTTTATGGAATAGTGAATATCACATATCTCAGTATTAATATTGACATTTGCTTGGACTGGTAATTATCTAAATGAATCTTAATGACACTACAACTGCCTTTGTTTACTATAATTAACAATTTTCACACATTTTTAAAATATTTATACAACCTGTAATTACAGACAGGTATTTGTAGCATTCCTAATTAAATATGGTGAAACAAGAAGTGTGTTTCTGTTTTATCTGAATTAAAATCTTGCTTGTTTAGTTTCATTGATAACAATTAAAACAGTGTTCAGATTGGCTCAGATGACCAGAAACTCCAAATGTAAACAAGTTCCACTTGTTAAACAGCAGAGCATTTTACCGAGTTGATTAACCATGAGTCCAAATCATGAATTCAGCCTGCAAATGAAACAAAGCTCCTTTGTTTGAAGACCAGAAGCCTTTAAACCAGGGGCATTAAGAGAGGTGAGATATTAAAACCAGGGGCATTAGAAATGTGTGATACTGTCAAAGAAAACCAATAAAAGTTAAATAGAAGGATTGTCTATAGACATTCAAAGGCAAACTCTACAATCTATTCAACATTATAAATATACATGTACACTCAGATCTAACCATTAAACAGCTCTAAAATTGGGCAAAAAGAGAGGACAAACAAGGAATATAGTAAACAGGTATGTAATGAATGCTCCTCATTGTAAAGAAATGCCAGGATAGAGAAATAGAGTTTATAAACAGAACAAACTTGATTCAAATTCTGTGATAATATATAAAACTTCTATTGCAATTTGGAAATAATACAACATAAAGAAAATAAATATACAAAATAAATATTTCTTATTGGAACAAGCTTCAGAAGGAGCTAAAATCTAGAATTGTTTAATGTGAATGAATACTAGATAGTCTATTTGAAATATTGATTAGGTGAAACAGGTAATTTAGGAAAGGAAGATTCTCGGTTTGGAGAACGAAGTTCATCAATCTAAATGAGCATTATCCCTGCTTCGGACAAATTTGATTTTTTTTACATAATATAGATTTGAATGTCTTCTTTTGAATAGTCATAATTTAATTTGGGTAATATTTCTAGATTTTTCGCAAAAAAATATTAGCGCAGTACACTGATGAACTTCTTTCCCCAAATCGAGACTTGGATTTTATTGAATCGGTCTATCTGAGCATTATCCCTGCTTCAGACCAATTTGTTATTTTTACATCTTGTAGATTTAAATGTCCTCTTTTGAATATTCATAGTTTAATTTGGGTAATATTTCTATATTTTTCATGAAAAAAGTTTTAGCCCAGGAGGCTGTTCTCCAAACCGAGAATCGTCCTTTGGATTATTTGATGAAATGCTAGTTAAAACCTTTGCAAAAATGTACATGGTTTAGACTGGTTCCTAAAAGGTTTAAGCCAAACACCTCGATAATATAATTTCAGGAAATGGAGTGTAGGAGGTGCCAGAGAAGCTTAAGGCATATGAAGCCCAGATTTGAGCATGGCATTTGCATATGTCACATCTGACTGGCAGAGCTTCTCATATGAGCACCTTAAACGATACCTTTCATTCTTCTTATTATTGAGCATATTATACCATTAACTCCACCATTGAGAACTCTTCATAAATCACAAGTAGAATTGAGATAAATAATTGTGAAGTTTCAAGTGTGGAGGGTGAATTGATATCGTCATAGTAACTATTAGAACAGCTAGGAGATATAAGATGAGGCGTGGAATTCGGTACAGAGGCTGCATCCGCATAGATGGAATGTACTTATCGTCTTCCTGGTAATTCATGAATATTCATATGTGTTAGAGCGTGTTAGAGGCAATCGACCAATAACAAATAGCTCTACGCCCTGAGAAGTGATAGAAATATTGGCATGTAAACAGCTTTAAGATCCATCTCATCAAAACACTGAAAATACTAACAGAATAGCAATAACATTATAGAGAATGGATACTGTAACAAAAAGGAAGTGACGCAACAATGTAAAGGAACTGACACTAGAGACAAAACAATCAGGAAATGACATTGAAAAACTGAAGAATGTCAGAATATTCATCATACCTCAAGAAAATTTTACAAAGGTACCAGATAGACTGTTATTGATAAAGACTGCATGTAGCATCATAATAAGAAAATAGACCAAGGCCATGAGACAGAGGTACACATATGATGTGCAGGAATACAGTCAACAGCGTTAAAGTACAAACCAGCAACCTCAAGGACAACATCAATAACAATTAATTAAAAAGGTTAGTATACTCTACTTCATAAAACAAACACATTTTACAAAAAAACATATCTTCATTGCTTCCGGTCCTTTCAAAAACACCACGTGTGAAAAGCTATGGAAATATCCGATACCATATTCATTTTTCAAATTCCCACAAAATTACCAATACATTTTACAACAAAATCACTAGGTACAAAGAATTAGAACAATGTGGCAATTCAAGTACATAATTTCCAAAATTGCTTCAATCTCAAAAGGGGAATCAATATAAAGAACAGTGTTTATTATAGTCTAGCTGCCTACTGCTATT